TATATATATATATATATATATATATGATATTTGATATTCATAGTAAGACATATAACTTTTCTTATAAAAAAATAGGGTAAATGACAAAAAGGAAAGTATAATTTGAATCGGCTTTATTCATTTTTTTTTTAATTTATAAGTTATTACTTTGTTTATTTTTTGAAATTTTGATGGATCTATATAAAGAAATTACATATTTTAGCACATAGACTCTTCACTATGTACGCGTGACGCGTCTAAATGATAATACTAATGTATTTGATGAAAAATAAATTGATATATATATATTAAGGCTTTTAGATTTGCTTTTGAAAAATAGGATAAATGTAAATAAATATATATATATATATATATATATATATATAGTATAATATATCTTGTTGTATTAATGTTTTTCCTTAATTTATTGGTGATTAATTATGATTATTCAAGTTTTCATACATTTTTAAAAGTTACAAATGTTGACATAAATGACTATAACAAGTAAAAATATCAACTTTAGTCTTATATATATAGAGTGAACAAGTCAATCTCACAATATTCGAAACATTTTATATTTTTATATTTATTTAAAAATGTTTAAGAATTATTAATATTTATTAAATTAATTGATATGATATTTAATTTTTGAATCTCAAGATTTTGGATTCAAGTATTAGATTTAGTTAATTTTAAACATTATTTTGTATTATTTAATAGGATATTTTCTTTACAAAAAAGATATAGACAAAGCATTAAAAGTAATATATTTCGGCAGAGGTGTTTAGTTTATAATGATTTTTTCACACTTATATGGAAAAGTCTATATTTTTTACATCATTAATTAATTCACGATGTATGATATTCATTCTACAACCGAAAAATGTTCACTTATACATTGATTGTGCGTTCCTTAACGCTCAATTATTTAGTGCCACCTGGGAGAGGAAGCATAGGGAGGGAATTAAAAGCCTAAGAAAGAAACAAGAGTACTTTGAACTTTTGCTTTGCAAATTGCAGCAATTGAAGCTTTAGCTAACCCCAATGCACAATTATTTCAAATTTCACCTTTAGATTCAAAGATAGTCCACATCCACAACAACCAAACACATCTTTTGCTTCTTTCAATCTTGTAGTGATTTAGAAACGAAAAGATAAAGTACAATAACAATAAATAATAAATAACATCCTAAAAGCCACCATGTCTCAATTTGCATATTCCCATTTGACCCTCAATTATTTTTCTATTTCACTATTGCCCATGTAACGTTGAATGGGTAGTGGTGGAATTTTGATTTTGGTATGTTAGTAGGGCCTTTATTCCCATTATTACGTTGTAAATAAATATGAAGCTTTTTTTTTTTTTTTTATCTTTTTAATAAAAGGAAGACATTGCTATGGCCATTGTCTTTATTAGAGAAGGTTACAACCTTCGAGCTCCGCGAAGAACAAGAGGCTGCCCAAAAAGAGAAGTCGTAGCAGACAGTACGGTTCATTCTAAACCATTGCATGCTTTTCATGTGGCTATGGCTACAAAACAAAACTTGTAAAGTTGCCTGTGTCCACTTGTCAGATACTCAAATTCCTTTTAGTATTTTCTTTTTCTTTTTATTGTATTTCTATTTTCTTTAATTTAAATTGTGCATTATTTTAGTTTATTTTTTTCAATTAATTATTTTTTGTATTTTTAAAATTAAGTGAATTTTTTTGACATTTTTTAATCTTGAGGCCAGCTATCTCACCCTTTGAGGTGCCTCCAACGTAGCGAGATTAATCACTGCTGTCGGCGGTGGATACTCCAGGGACGAACCAAAAAAAAAAAAAAAAACCATCAATTTTCATTTTCTATCTAAATATTTAGTGCATTATAATGGATTTAGAATTTAGAATATAAAATATGTTAATGTTTTAAAAAAATTGTTGAAAACATTAATAATTTGAAGGATTTTATAGTGTGTGGAATTTAAATTTAAATGGCTAATTTCGATTTTTCAGGTGAATTTTGAACAATTTTATTTTTTTAAAGATGTTAAAAAAAAAAGAGAGAGAGAAACTTCGAAAAATGAGAGCTTACTTAATTAAAAAATAGAGAATTAATTTCTCCTATATTATAATCTGAAATAAATAATTCGGAGAGTGGATTTCTCACTCTCTAATATATATTCTCTTTTTTTTTATTTTGAGGTATATTATACATTGTCCCGCTAATTAGTTAAACAAAATATTTTTCAAGCATTTCAAACTACTAATCTTTTATCTTTATCTCAATTTTTTATTCTTTAACACTCATTTTTAAATTAAATTTTAGTATTTTTAAAAAAAAAATCCCAACATGTAAAATAACTTTATATCATGATTTATATATTTAATAAAATAAATTTATTATTATAATATCATTTATATATTTAAAAATATTTATTTATTATAAATTTAATATATAAAAAGTTCCTGTATAACAAACTAAAACACTAATTTACTTTATAACTTATGATCAAAATCACATATATTTTAAATTAAAAATATAAAAATACAATTTAACGTTTTTCGATAATCCTTAAGAAAATTACACTATTTCCCACCTTAAGAAGTAGACGTTAGTTGATAATAACTACATTGATTATATATTAAGAAATGAGGGACATTACAAAATGCATTTCTGAATGTTGTATACGCAATTTTTCATCTTATATAATTCCCTATAAGTGAATATATAAATGGTTGTGTGACACGTTCAACCGACTTGTTTGACGTAAAAACTTAGAAAACGATGCCGTTTTTCCTGTTCACATTAATTATTTGTTTGATTGGAACCGTGTTTGTTTGATTATCAAAGTCTACGAAATATTTCAAACTGATGATGATATATTCTAGAAGATTGACATAGATACACCATAGACCAGCTGCAACTGTTTTGTTGTCAAAACAGGATCCCCTGGTTGACAAAACTTCCATAAAAGAAATACATTTTAAGTTAAGAGTTATATTTTTCTGTGTGTGGAAAAATAATTTTAACCAGCGTGCTTTTTGTGAGATATGCAAAATAATCAAAACAATATTTTTAGTATATAAATGTTTATACTTTTTATTTGTTAATGTTTGTTTGCCTTTTTTATTTTTTTTCTTCAGCCTTGGAAAGAAAATATAAAATCTATATTACCAAGGACGGAGTCAAGGGGGGACCTACGGGTGCCACGGCCCCCCCAACAATTTTAATTTTTTTTTATATACATATATATTACTATATGGCACCCCTTATTTTTAATATAAACTCATATGTATAATTAAATGAATAACCCAAATTTATTTTTTTATTCAACTTTTGGACTTCTGGTACGGCCTGCTATGTGGTATCACTTTGGAATTTTTTTTTTTTTTTAAAAATGTAGCGCCTCATTTGATCATTCCAATTCTCGGCCCCCCAGTATTGAAATCCTGGCTCCGTCCCTGAATATTACCAACAAAAAAAAATCTAAGATGTTGGCGTATGAAGTAAAAAATACATTTAAAGTAAGGGTTTAATTAGCGTGTAATTTTTTAAACTCTTATAAGAATTTGAATAAGTCATGGATGGCAATAATGGTTATAGACTAATGAGTTAAATAAGCCGGCAACTATAGAGTAAAGCTCATATAACTTGTGCACCGGATATAGCCAACTATATATTTTCACCAACTTAATTATGCTTAACTTTTCTTGCAAGACATAGACTTCTTCATCTAAGAGGAAATTGCACTTCTTCTTCTTCTTTTTTTAACAAAATTATCTTTGATTGAAAGATAGAAAAAAATTCTTAATTAACATTCTTCATACATATTTTTTATATATAAAAATCATTCAACTCTTTATGTACATTTAATTCGTTAAAAATTATGATAATGAATAAGATATATATAATTGTTTTGTATTTAATTTATAAGAGGATCATGAGACTAACAAAAAAATGATAAAAGGCAAATTAAAATTTTAATTTTTTTGCTATTTAATAAACTATGGGATAATTTTTTTGTTTCAAATACAAAAATATCCATTAATCACTATTATCATGATATTGTGCCAACACTAACTTGACCCTTATCATTGTTATCTAGTACTATCATTATTATTCTACTATCATTATTGTAGATTATCACTACCATTATAATTTATCGTTGTCGATCATCCACTACCACCTTATATATATCATTATCGTAATTATTGATATTATCATATGTTATTATTGTCATCACAATTTTTTTCTATCCTCATCTCTATTAAGATAATAATAATTTATTTGATAATTAATATTAAAAATTATATTATAATAAATTTAATATTATTTTATTTGGGTTGTCAATTATTCATCAAATAATATATCCAATAAAAAAATTTGCTAATAACTTTATCACTTGTTTTGTTTGTTGTTCTTATCTTATTCCTTAATGATAATTAAATATACTCATATTA